CAAGAAATATACAAAATATTAGAAAATTTATAATTAAAAATAATTGTTAAAATTATAAATAAAACTTGAAATCTCATTGGGTTTTATAACTTTTGAAGATTCAAGAGCAATCGAATGAGCAAAGCTCTCCAATCTCTTGTCATACAACTCACATTTATTCTAAAATTTTGTTTTCCATGAAGGAAATTTTGCATCCATAACATCTATAAACCCTTTCATTACTTCTTGCTTGATACAAAAATCTCTTTATCAGAAAAGAAAGCAAGATTCAAATAATAAGCAACAACATGGATACTATGATGAAGTTCTCTATCCCACTTTTCCTTGATAATTCTTGTATAAAGTTTGTACAAACTCTTCCTATTCATCAACATGGCAATAATTACCTTTCTAGACCTATACATGCCATCATAGAGATAGCCAAGAAAAGACTTCTTATCACCATCAAACAATTCTAAGCAAGTGCATAAATAGTGCCACAACTTTCACAACAAGCTAACAACTCCAAAATTAGGCATGATATGATTTAGAGATAGATCAAATAGGACTTGCAAACTATGAAGGGAGGTGAGCAATTGTGTAGGGATAATTCGAAGATATGATAAATGAGGGTGTGGAAGAGATAAATGACAAGGAGAGAAGTGATCTGTTTCTTTCTAGTAGAGTTGAGGAAGAATTGAAGGAAAGGGAGGTGAGTGGTAGAGGGAGGCACTTATAAAGGTGGCCAAGAGTGGGCAACAGTCAATGGTGACTAGTGAGTGTAAGTCCATCACTAATGAGTGGTGGTTGGTAGCTAAAGTTGGTTGTGACTCATGAGACTCAAGAAGTGAGAACTGGGACAGGAAAGGAAAAAAAGAGTTAGGGTTTAGATATTTTTATTTTTGTTGTTTAATTTCTTATTTAAGGTTAATAATAGAATAACAATAAAAAAGATGGGGTAAATGGGTAAAATGAATTAAAACTAAAAAATAAAAAAATTAAAGTGAAACATTGAAATAACTCAATTGGGTTTCATGAGTCAAGTATATTTGGCGAGTTAGGCAAGTTTAAATAAGTTTTAGTGGGTTTTTCATCAAAATGGGTCAATGTATGTAACTAACTCATTTTCATACCTAGGTCCATTTGAATCGGTTGAATTGACCAAGTTGAGTTGGGTTTTAAACATTGACCGAGTTGAGCTAGGTTTTAAACATTGACCGAGTTGAGCTAGGTTTTAAACATTAATTATGACCAACGGATATTTTGTATATAAAAGTGGTGATTTCAAAAAGATATTCATGTTTTACAGGTTAGATTGCACATTAAAGTGCAGTTCAAGTATTAAAATTACTAAATTATTATTAATTACTATTAATGAAATAACATTAAAATAGTTTTATTAAGTGTATTTAGTAAATTCATATGTTAGACTATGCTTTATTGCACAATCTAACTTGTAAAATACTTTTTCATTACAAAAAATAATAAAAAAAGTAAATAGAAAAATCTTGGATTTTTAGAAAAAGAATAAACCAATAATTTAAAAAAAAATAGAGAGCCTTATAGTTTGTTCCTTTGAGTCAAATTTAAAATTCAAGATTTCATGAATAATATCTTAATACTTAATACAAGTAGTTGAAAATGAGAATTTCTCATGCAATCTCATATTTATAGGATTTATGCTATAGAATATATTAACTCAATATTTTTTTTAAAGGTTAGAGGTCTCAAATCTTGAGGAACTTAACATGACAATCCTCTAGATTATTTCAGTTGCCTTAGTTTGATCATGCACAAAATTTTAATTAATGCTTTTTAATAGTATACAAATAGCAATTTAAATTCTTTTTTTAATAAAATGAGACAATTTAATAAGATTTATGTATAGAAAAAAATTTTAATTATTATTTATTTACTCTACAAAAAATGCATTATCTAAAGACATGTGCACAATGTATGTCCAAATTAAACAACTGAAAAATTAGAGAGAGTTGTAACATAATAATACATATATTATGTAGGGCTTATACTAGGGCCAACTATGGTGAGGTTATAGCCATTAATAACTTTGGTAAGACCACTAAATTTACCTGTAATTTTTTTAGTTTATAGTTTTTTTTAAACAATTAGTTATCATATTCGAAAATATTTATTTATAAATTGATTTTAATATGTTAAATATTAAATATTAATTATTTTATTAATTATCAATTATTTTTAATAGTTAACATTTTAATCAAAAAGTTCATTCACTATATTAATATCGCCATTAAATTAATTCTTAAATAGAAAAAATTAAAAATTAATATTATTAAATAAAAAATAAAAATTTTACATTTTTATTTAAAATTTGAGAAAATTAATATTTTTAAATAAAAAATAAAAAATTAACATTTTTATTTGTATCTTTTCTCTTCCAAGTTAAGAGCAGAAGTCAAAAGGAAATTCCTCCACACTTTTGGATTAAAAGAAATTCCTCCACACTTTTGGATTAAAAGCCTATAAAACTCCTAAAAAAAACTAAAGTAAAAGGGTGATTTAAATGGTTTGGCCGCAAATTAAAAAAAATGAATAATAAATAAAAAACTCAAAAATCAAAATATTATGCAAAATGCACAAATATTGTGGTTCACTGGTTCACACGGCTCATACCCCATAAGCCATACCTTCCTCTTTTCAGCCGGTAGTTATCCACTAACTTTTCTGTGGCGAAGGCGCCATTCTTCCCTCCTCCTTCGGCAATGGCCACCACAACTCCTCGCAATTACCATTTCCCTCCACCCGTCACCGCCAACTGCCGCAAACTTCCACTCTCTCCGCTCTTATTTCCACGCCCCAATCACTATACTCCCTCTACATCCCCCCTAGTTTGTCACTTTGCCCATCAATCTTCTCGCACTGTGGTGTGCAAGGCGACCGAAGTATCCGTGACCCAAGAATCTGCCGCCTCTGGCGATGAGGGGAGCGGTGAGAACTGGGTACCGGTAGTGCCCTTGTCGGCGCTGCCCAAGGGAGAGCGACGGGTGATAATTCAAGACGGGGAGACGATATTGCTGCTGTGGTACAAGGATGAGGTTTTTGCCATTGAAAATAGATCTCCTGCTGAGGGAGCTTACAGTGAAGGGTTGCTCAATGCCAAGCTCACCCAGGTGCGTTTGTCTTTTCTTGTTGGGAAATTATGTAATTGATGGGTAGAAACCTGAACATAATTCACAAAGGAATGACAAGTTAGACACTTTTTTATCTTCCTTTTATTTTTTGCAATTTGTTTGTTGAATTATTGACATATTCTATAAAAAGAAAATGTCTTGGGGACCGGATCAAAGAAAAAAAAAATGAAAGAAGAAAGAAAAGATGAAAATACATATCTTTCGGGTTTAGGAGCTGGAATGATGTAGAACATGTATTTTTCTTTCTAGGGAGGCTGAAGAGGATACGAAGCATCGGATTATCGTTATATATTATGAGACCATTTTGTTAAAATTTTCAAAATCCTGTCTTGAAAATAGAAAATGAAGAAGGAAGTTCGTAAAATGTTGGATTTATGTTGCATGACTGAGAGAAGCAATACAAGAAAACTATATAAGCTGATTGTTTGAAGTGATGGAGATTAATGTTGATGATTATTGGTAATAGGGTCCAATTTCTTATTACATTATGTTTGGAGAAACTAATGGAAAATTAAATAACATAATTGGTATCAGACTTATAGCGGTTTTGATAAGATTTGTTTTGAGATTTTTCTCTTCTCTTTGAATGCATTTGTGTTTCGCACACACTTGCCCAATGTATGTTGGGATGGGAGGCAAAAGGTTGAGAGCAAAACGCTTATTTTTTTTCTTGTTAGGAGAGAGAGATTTCACACTCAGACCTGTGATTAGGCACCTTTTGGATCAGAGGTACTAGAGATAGTGAAGTAGAGACAACACAAAAAGCATCAAGTAAAAGGAAATTTTAGCATTCATTTTCTTCCCATTTTCTCATCCTCAGCGCCAATGTCCTTGGTTGGATCCAATTTTCTCTGTCCTCTTCTTTCCAGCTTCTAGTTTTATATCATCTCTACCAAATGAAGCAAGTTAATCAGCTTTGGTTTGATAAAAATGCTCTTCACTGCTGGTATAACCATGAAATTTTGAACCTGTAATATTTCTGGGATCTGCGGGTTTGTGATCCAACACTCGAAAGTAACTGGGTCATCTAAGTCTCAGTTGTTGAATAATAAAGTAAAAATGCTTCTTCTGTTTATTTTGTTTTTCTTTCATTGAAAGTGTTTAGATTTAAGTAGTTGGAAACAAGGCCATGGCCATTTCAAATCATCAACCTTTTTGGAAAAAAACTTCTGCTTTTGTTTATGTTTTCATTAGGAAACCTCTGTAATTTTGGAGATAAGAGGCCCTCAGTGTTCTCCATGTTTGTGTTTTCTTTCTAAAATGATGGAAAGCGAGATCTAATGATGTTATTCTGTTTCATTCCACAGGATGGCTGTATAGTTTGCCCAACAACTGATAGCACATTTGATCTTCGTACAGGGGCCATCAAGGAATGGTATCCAAAAAACCCAGTGCTGCGAGTCCTAACACCGGCTTTGAGAAAACTTTACGTTTATCCTGTAAAAACAGATGAAGAAAATATTTACATCAGCTTGAGTAGCAGTGTTAAATCTGATGCAGCTGCAGAGATTGTCTTTAGTGGAAAACCTCAACCTGGTGTGACTGCAAGTGATATCAATATTGAAGAGGTAGCAAAATAACATATGATCCAGACCCTTACAAGCATGGAATTAGTTCAAGTTACTTTCATTTTAATACTTTCTTATATGTTTGTTTTGTCAGGTGAAAATGGTGGTTGACGAGGGTTATGAGGGGTTCGGATTCACTGGAAAGAATGAATTGATAAATGGGAAGGCAGCCATAATTGGTTTCCTGCTACTGTTGGATTTTGAGCTCCTCACCGGTAAGGGTTTTCTAAAGGGAACAGGCTTCTTGGACTTCATATACTCTGCTTCAGATGCTTTCAAATAAACGTTGTGACTTTTGATTCATATATAGGAGGCAACATGCTCATTCTTTGTTTGTCACAACTGTTTTTCATGTATTATTATCACTTCAACCCGTTTCATGTTTCTATCTGTTGTTGTATATTATAGAAATCAGAGGTCATTGGTGTTCATACCATGAACTTTATAACTTATAATCAATTTGTTCTACACAATTACTGAAAAAACTTCCGAAGGTCCTCTTGAAGGCTATCTTCTATCTCTAATTTCATTTCTTCAAAAGAGAGATTTTCTTTAACTAGATAAAACACCCAATGAAACATGCTATGTATAATTCATTCCATCAAGTGTTTGATCTTGATCCCCCATCAAACTCCCAAGAATTTTTTTTTTTTTTTAATGAAGTAGAGATGTTTTATTAATCAAAAAAAGATTACATATGGATTCTTATATAAAAGTTTTTAAAGCTAAGTTGAATATATAATTTATAACACTAAACATAATTGAAAACTATGTTTATAATAAATAAAAATAATTAAATATAGAAAATCAAATGTATCAAAAAATAGTATTAACGAATTCTATAGTGATATGTATAATGCTACAAAAATAAAAGGAAAGTCTTGATGTACCTAAAGCTACCAAAATTTCCCAACTACCAAGTGTAAGGTATTTCGTTAAGGGAATTGAAGTAAATTTAGACTTTTGCTTTTTAACCATTGGCCAAGGTGTCATTGGCATTGATACATTTCTCGATTTTAGAATCCATAACGTTCCGAAAAAGAAATCAAAGCTACCAAAATTTCTCAACTACGAAGTGTGAGGTATTTCGTTAAGGGAATTGAAGTAAATTTAGACTTTTGCTTTTTAATCATTGGCCAAGGTGTCATTGGCATTGATACATTTCTCGATTTTAGAATCCATAACGTTCCGAAAAAGAAATCCATTACCAAAGTCCCAATGTCACGTGATTAACATGTAGTCCCGGATGGGGGTGGGCAAATGGTTGTTTAATTGAATGATTAATAAAAAAATTAATTAAATAATAAAATGCATTTGGTTTTTGATTTTATTTTAGTTTTAATCATAATAAAAAAATTTGCCTAGTTATTAGTTAGGGGTTTAAAAACCAAAAAACTAAATATATAACCAAAAAATAAAATTTTATATTATATAAATAATTATTATTTAAATACTCTAAATATATATAAAATTCATCCTATTCAATCACTTTTTCAAATATTATTCTATAAATTTCGTTATAATTTAGGTTTTAAATTTAAAATATATTATAAGTTTTGAAAAAAATCAAAATTTTATATCTTATTCTTATTTATTTATGATTTTTTAATTTTATTTTTATATTTAATAATTATTGATTAAAACCAAATCTAAATTTATAATAACCAAAAATTTAATTAACCAAACTAAAAAATAATATGTATTTTAGTATTGATTTTGTTCTTAAAAATTCTAACTAAAAATTTTTAATTAATCAAATATCGATTATAATTAAAACCTAAATCAAGATTTTCCCACCCTAGTCGATGAGTTGCCTTAATTTTTTGACTGGTTCTAATTCATCAGGTGTCGACAGAAACGAACGTGCTACTTGAGTTGATGATATCATGCCTGATGTCAGAACCCTCTTTCCTACTTGATTTTCAACAACACCTTTTTATAATATAATACAGAAAAAGCGGCAAGCGTCAACGCTTGAAAATTGACTTTATGCCCACTGTATTCATAATCCTCAGCCACTCATCTTTTCATTTCATAAGAATATCAACCCATCGAGCAACTTGCCTCGAATGCTAAAGCACCGTCCTCTTTTACTTTGACTGTTTCTTAAATATTTTGACCCCCCTCTAGGAAGTTTTTCTTTTTCAATTTTTTAAGCTCTGAGTTGATCTTTCTTCAACCTATAAATATGTAAACCACTAAGCTTCATTTTCATCGCTAAGCCCAAACGTTAGAAAGATGAATACGAGAGAAGGTGTTGGGAGCAGTGGTGCTCAAACGCAGAACAAGTACAAGGGGGTGCGCCGGAGAAGATGGGGCAAGTGGGTGTCAGAGATTCGAGTTCCTGGCACCAAAGACCGGCTTTGGTTAGGCTCCTATTCAACCCCAGAGGCAGCTGCAGTTGCCCATGACGTTGCTTTCTATTCTCTGCATAAACCTTCTTCCTTGGCCTCTATCAACTTCCCTTCGTTGTTGCCCCCAGGTAACATCAGTTCAGGCAGCTCGCCCAGATCTATACAGAAGGCAGCATCGGATGCTGGCATGGCCATAGACGCCCGTGTTAGGATGACTGGGAACCAGCTGGTGGAAAATTACGCGAATTCCGGGAATATTCATCGCCACATGGAGTTGGAGGACGATTGTTTTGGGTCATGGGAGGGAACTGAGATGAGAGACGGGGAGGCTTTGAGCATTTCCGTTGAGGATTATCTCTAGATCATATATATGACCAACGATTCTTAGTTGCTGTACTTCTCATCCATTTCCCGTTACGTAAAGTTATGTTGACTATGAATACAATGATGCGTACATCACCTTCTTAATTTTGTTCCTCTCGTGAATTCTTTCATTTCAAAATCAACGGCTAGTTTTTTCGTTAAGGTCATGCTGCGCGCCAAAACTGTAGTCAATATATTGTTCCTTTTCTTAGCCTAAATTTTCCTCATGGTAGCACAAATTCTTTATCAAAAGTCCAACCTCAAAATCTAAACACATGCAACTTGTTATTGAGCGAAGAAAATACAACTAAATTGCCAGTCTTAGATGTCATGAGCAGGAAGAGAAAGCCAAGATTTTGCTTATTAGGCTCAACATTAAAAACGTTGGAAAAATTCAAAGTGACACACAAAAACATAACACAGTAGAAAACAGGATTACCTAGTGGAGGCCCTAGGCAATTATTCAATTTTGTACTGCAGCAGGGGACTGACCTGCGAGCTTCCAGGAGAGGAGAGAACAAGCTTCCTTGGAGAGGGCACCTCGGGGGTATACCTGCTGCGGCTGCTGCCGTTTTCGATTGTCTGCCTCCCTATACCCATAAGGGAAGTACTTCTCGTAACTCCAGTTGTGAGAAGAAGGCGGAATGTCCATGTGAGGACATTGGGTGCAAACACCTTATAAACCAGAAATATGTCATACCAACTCGGGTACTTGACATATGCATCTCCTCGACAAGCCCCTGCCACGATCAACTTGGCAAACTCCTCCACAGGCCCAGCAGGTGTCGCTTGCACCTGAAACAAATAATTCTGATCTTATTACAATTAAATTTGCACAGCACTAAATTTCATAAGTGGCCTAGGAATGTGTATTGATGAACAGAATGAATCGTTGCTTATATGAATTATGGGAATCAAGATGACAGCATATCTACTATGTCATGTGATCCATTACACACCCAAGGAGGACCAATCACGCGAGCTAGAGCTAAGAAGATGCGTGAAGCTTTAAATGGCCTTATTGAGCAGATCTGGGTTGAAAACAACATACAACAAGCAAATCGAAGCTTGGATGATTATCAAGGCATGGTAAACATCATTCAGGTTTAAGAGAAGCTTAGTTGAAGTCCTTTGCACGGAATTAAACAGTTTGCGTCAAAATTGTATAATTCTGCCGCAATTTGTAGCAAACTGATGTTTCATGTTATTTTAGGTTATTTTTAGTAATTTTCACCTTTTTTGTATTATTTTTGGGCTAAACATTCGCTTATTTGAAGCC